CTGTGCCACTTGAGCCACAGCCCCACTTGCTTTTGGATGGTTAATTGTAGGTAAGAGTCTCAAGGACTTTCCAGTCCAGGGTGGCTGTGAATCATAATGGGGCCCCAGGGAAGCAAGAGTAAACACCACTCGCAAGTACTATCCCTATGGTGGGTTACTCCTGCTCCCTGGTGGCCACACGCGGAACATGCGGCCCCTGGCATTATCCTCTAGAGTTCAATTTGGGGAAGTGACCAGGGCCAAGTTGACTTTTGCTCACCCTGATTGTTGATGCCAGAGCAGGTCTGTTCCACCCTAGGCCAAGAGAGCTCCAGGAAGCCCGGCTTTCCAGGTACACAAGGAAGGGAGAGGTCAGCTCCAGGTTGAGCTAAGATCCTTTGCCCACAAATACCCCAACTTGTCCTTACTTATCACCATAAGACCTGTGAAAGAACAACCCAAAAAAACAAAATTGGATCTGTGCCTCCACATGGTAGACCTCTAGCATTGAACCAAAGAGCTCAGAGACAGGGCCCCCAAGCTTTGAGTTCAAGACCCACAGCTTACCTTCCCCCATAAAACACAGGTTGTCTAACTGTGAACTAGTAGGATTTATGCAGTGTTTCTGAGGAATGGTGATGCTGAAGAAAGCAACCTAATTCTAATGACAGCTGAACTTGTGACATACAGCTATGTACTGAGTCCTTCACAGGGCACTATTTGCTGGGTCCTTCCCACATGGGGGTTTTGTGCTGAGTCCTCAAAACGGTGCTGTTTGCTGAGTCATCCCAAAGGGTGCTATGTGCTGAGTCCCTGAGAAGAGTGGGCTGTCCTGGGTTTTTCAAAGGGTGCTGTATGCTGAGTCCACTACACAACGTACTGTATGCTGAGTCCTTCAAAAGGTGTGGTGTGCTAATGCATCCCAAAGGATCCTGCTATGTGCTGAGCCCTTGAGAAGAGAGGGATGAGGTGTTTTTTGAGTGCTGTGTGCCGAGTCCTTTACACAGGGTACTCTGTACTGTCCTTCAAATGGTGCTGTGTACTGAGTGCTTCCACAGTGTGGTATGTGCTGAGTCCTTCAAAATTGTTCTGTGTGCTGAGTTTTTTGAAGGATGCTGTGTACTTGGTGTTTTACACAGCCTGCTTCAACACAGGGTGTGATGAGTCCCTGGGAAAGAGTGCTATGTGCTGAGTTTTTCAAAACATGCCATGCACTGAGTCCTTTAAACTGGGGACTATGGACTCCTTCCTTCAAAGGGTGTTGTGTGCTGAGTACTCTACCCAGCATACTACATTCTGCATCCTTCAAAGGGAGCTGTGTGCTGAATCATTTACACAAGGTGCTTTGTGCTGATTTTGGAAGAGTGCTGTGTGCTGTCATCCCAAAGGGTGCTATGTTCTGAGTCCTTGAGAGGTAGTTATCCCCAACACACACACACACACACACACAAACACACACACATACACACAAGTGTCACCATGCACCTGTTTGGTGTGTGGATTGGAGGAGGATGGAGGAGAGTCTCCTCCAGGGGTGGGGCTGAGGGTAGATTCGATCCCCTAGGCTGGTACTGGGGGTGGTGGGTAGTACGGAGCTGAGGTAAGGCTGCAATTGCCAAGGTCTAGAAGCCTCAGGGCCCAGTCAGTGCTGCAATTGTGGCCAGGGGTGCGGGGCGGGGCCCAGGGAGGAGGGGGCAGGGCCCAGGAGTGCACTTTGGTGGCAGCAATGGCCAGGAGCCCAATGGGGCAGGGGTGTGTGGGCAGCAGGGGCGGGGTGGCCCAGGAGAGGAGTGTGGGGCCCAGAGAGAGCTGGGAGAAGAGCAAGCATGAGCACAAGTACCAGTGGAAATGGCTTCAGTGGCTGGAGGCTGCTCCGATCATAGCATGGGTCCTGGCCGGGAGGGCAGAGCATGCGGAGCCTGCACGGCAGGCACATTGCCACATGCAGCCCCTTGGAGGTGCCCAGCCATGGTGGCCCTGAGTCTGAGGTCCCGGTCCGGGGAGCACGGCAGAGGCAGTGGCTGCTGAGGCAGTGGCGGCCACAGGTTAGGAGGCTGCTGAGGCTGCGGTGCTGGCTGAGGAGGAGCAGAGGCTGCACACAGCCCCACCATGAACCTGAGCTGCATTTCAAACATGACGCTGCTGGGTCGGACCCTCGGAGCCTCTAGCAGTCACCTGGAAGAGCTGGTGCACCCCTGGCCTGCTTGTGGCCCTGATTTGGTTCCGGCCCTCTGTCCTCAGACTCCTGGCCCGCACCCAGCCTACAGCTTCTCCCAGCAGCTCATGTGAGTGGCCGACCTGCCCTCCAGCACTCCACGACCCCTCCTCCCTTAAACCCAGTCCTCCACTCTACTCTTCCTCCCCACCCTCGCGGACCAGACCCTTGCCTCTCCCCTCCCAGTCCAGTCCTGCCTCCGCCTCCCCCAGGCCCCACAGTCTGTCCTGGCTCTGCCACAAATGCACCCCAGGTTTGGGGTTTGGAGGTGGGTGTCCACCCGGGGATCCCACCCTCATCCCTAGTGGCCAGTGTCCCAGGAAAAGGGGAGCTGCAGGGATGGGAAGAAGGGGGCACCACAGAGCCCCTGGCCTGGAGCAGTGGGAGCCACACATCCTTGTATCTGCATCCTTTCTCTCGCTGGTGGTAACCTGTTGCCTTTAGTCAGAGGTGGGGAGCAGCACCCCACACCTGCCTTCTTAGGTCTTTTCTTTTTGCTGGGGAAGGAGGTGTAGGATACAGAAGATAGGCCCCCCTTGCTGTGTGAGCCCTTGTCTTCTGTGCTCAGTCACCCTTTCACCTGAGGACATTCCCAGAAGAGCCCACTAGAGAGGTGAGGGTACTGGGGTCAGATAGAAGGTGGGTATTTGGGAGAAAAACACACCCCTTCTGACACACATACAACCGGCCTATACCCCCAACCCCAGCATTCAACAGTTCTGACTGGGTGATCACATTTCCCAGTTCTGTCAACTTCTGCTAGTGCTCCCAGTCCATCTGGTCTTCTTGTCCTCCCCAAGAATCTGCCAAGTCGCCCAGAAGTATGTGGGCTGGAAGTAGGGAGTTCATCCATGTATAGAGCCTTTAGGACCTCATCAAAGTCCCCAACAACGCCCCCACCCCAGGTCAGACACCTCGCTGGAGGCACCATGACCCCCTGCTTTGTTTTCTGTCCAGGCTCTGAGGAGCCACGTGTCTCTGGACTCCTTCACCCAGCGTCCTGGCCTAGGGTTTTGGTGAATGGGGAGTCAAGGCTGGTTGTTCTCAAGGGGAAGGGTCTGGCCCTGGAGAAAGGGGGAGTCAGGGTGGTTCTGCATTATTAGAGCATTGTACCCCTTGGGTGGTTGCCCCTGGTTCTGACAAGGGAACTCCAGTGCTTGAGCTGGTACATTGCCTAGATGAGAAACCAACAAATTCAGGAGAGGCACTGCTCTGAGTCTGTGTGTTTAGGTGTGTATGAGAGAGAGAGAAAGAGAGAGGGAGAGAGAGAGAGAGAGATCATCTTTCTCATTGTACAGTCAGCATATCTAAAAAGAGCAAAAGCATTTTTTTTGGGGGGGGTGGTCCGGTTGTGAGGTCTGAACTCTGGGCCTGTGCACTTTCCCTCAGCTCTTGAGCTCAAGCTAGCACTCTACCACTTGAGCCACAGCGCCACTTCTGACTTTTTTCTTTTTTCTTACATAGTGCTGAGGAATGGAACCCAGGGCCTTGTGCATGCAAGTAAAGCACTCTACCACTGAGCCACCTTCCTAGCCCGAGCAAAAGCATTTTATTTGTGTACATGTGTGTATTTTTTGTTCTTTTTTCATTAATGCCCCGTATGAGCCCAGCCACAATTTTTGTTTTCTCTTTCACAGTGTCATGGCTCCTTTAGAGAAGATTTCATTAGATGTTCCTTCCCACCACTTTCTTCCCCTTTCCTGCAGCCCACAGTAACTGCTGGGTCTGTGTGGGTCTCCCCTAGGAGGCCTGTGTGAACCGCCGCCCAGAGTGGATATCTGCCCTTCTGTTTTTAGCCAGAAGGCTCATGAGGCTACTGTGACCACAGCCGCACTCTTCCAGCCAGACAGTCTGCTCTCATGTGTATAGTTGGAGCTAATTCAAAGTTGGGAATGTGTCTGCCAAACATAATTAGGGAACGACATAGGAGGTGTAGGTCAGGGGCTGTGAAGCTAGGAGGGTCTGGGAATTGATGAACGGTGTGACATGGCAGATGGTTCACCATGAGAGGGGAATCTTACCCAGGGCATAGAGGGTGTCCATGGGCGTCTGAGCAGGGGGCTCCGGGACGCCAATGGTGGCATGGATTTTCTCCCAGGGCAGTGCACTGGTGGGCAGTCCTCCCTGGAGTCTTGCAGACTCCAATCTGTGTCCCTCCTGAGCTGGGCAATGGTAGGCAAGTGTGTTCCCCCTGCTGGAGCCTGCTTGGGATCAGGACATGGCAGTTAGCTAAGGCTCTCTGAATGCCATTTTCTGTAACCTGTTGTAGGCTGTCTGGAAGGAAAAGGGGACTACTGATTTTGGAAACCATTAAGTATGATTGGGACAAGTGAAATGCCAGCTTTTCCAGGGTTCTTTCTTCAAGCTCAAAATTTCCAGTAACATCTGGGATTCTGTGTCAAATTAGATGGACCATTTCAGCTACCAAACAATGAAGTTCAAAGCAGCACAGGCAGAGTTCCCAAGCCAGATGGTTTCCTGCTACGAATGTCGTGCCTTGACTGCCTTTCTCTGGCAGCTGCTGATTCTCCTCCGGCTCTCTCTAGGGTGACCACCACAGTTGAGGATGTCTTGGGGAGCACAGATTGTGACCCCGCCATCCGCATCCTGCCAGCTGTAAGCAGAGACAATTCCCAGCACCTGCACTGGAATCTGGGAGATTCAGAGACCTGGGATGTCTGAAGGATCCCTTCTCTGCAACATGAAACTTGGGGGCTGGATATAGTGGACCATCCTGTCTGTCCCAGGGAGTGGAGGTCCCTTGAGCCTGGCGTTCACCTCACAGCAACCTTGTTCACACTTGAGTGGGGAATGGAGTGCCACAGAGCTGGTCAGTTGCTGGACAGAGATCTTTGAGAAGATAGGCATCCCAGAGGACCTGGATTCCAGTGAGGACATCATGGCTCAGATCCTTGGAACCAAAACAGTTAAGTGCGGTGGCACCAGGAGGGTGGGAAGAGGGAGGAGGGAGAACTGTGGGAGAGCTACATCAGGCTTTGCCCCCACCCAGGATGTTTACCTGAATTAGATGGGACTTTTCTGTAGTATTGTCATAGACAGATGCTCATTTATTTATCCAACAAACCGTTACAGTGTGTGCCAAGCCCGGGGGGGGGGATGTGGGGGGGGGAGTGGGGCGGGTTATACACGATGAAAGGTTCCAGTACTGGTTCCACAGCACATGAAGAAATCTTGGTTTGAGCTGGATACCATTGCCTCATTCCTGTCATCCTAGATACTTAAGAGGCTGAGATGGGAGGATTGAGGCTTAAGGCCCATGCAGGAAAGCCTATAAGACTCTTATCTCCAGCAAACTACCAAAAAGAAAATGCCAGAAGTGGATGAGTGGCTCAAGCCATAGACTGTTGGCCTTGAGTAAAAAGGCTCAGAGACACCACCCAGGCTCTGATTTTAAGGCCCAGGAGTGACACAAAGTGAGGACAGAGAAAGAGAGGAGGAAAGGATGGAGGGAGAACAGGAGGAAAGTAAGGAAGAAGGGATCATGCAGGCCTTGGTTTGGAGTTCCTGGATCAAGGGAGCCAACCATTCACAATCTCTGTGGGGATAGTTTCAGAGCCTAAAGCCAGTATGTAGGACCAAGCAACTGTCCCCTCAGCAACTTCATGACATCCAGGATCTGCGTGGTTTGCTTACTGCAGAGGGAAACAGCCTGGGGTAGACTCTAGGGCTCCGGGTGTGTCACCGAGTTTCAATCTCCGCTGGCTCACTGAGTTTATTTTCTGGTCAGATAAGAAGGAAGAGTCCAAAGGCTAGGGAGGATAGGGTGAGGGAGTGTCCAGAGAGGGGTGGCAAGGGATAAGCAGGAAGATGAAGAGGGAGGATGATCCCAGATCAGGTGTGTCAGGCCATTGAAGCCATGACCTCACCTGACAACCTAGACCATCAGTGATAGAGCCTTGGACCCAGCCACATGGCTATTAAAATTCCTGGCACTCTGGGTTCACCGTTGACGACCTTGCTGTCGTCCACTGCAGGATGCCTGTGCAGTACATCCTTGGGCACTGGAACTTTTGCTGGCTCAATCTGAAGATGACACCCCCAGTGTTCATTCCTGGACCAGAGACAGAGGTAACCAGGCCACCGGCACAGGACAGCCAGGGAATGAGGGCAGGAGTCAGACCAGTGTTGCTCTGAGACTTCCTCTAGGGGACTTTGGGCCCCGTGACTGCCTTTCTCAGAGGTAGAGGTGGGTCTCCTTGCTGGCTCAGCCTTTAGTCTAGATGGCAGATGTGGACTTTAGAGAGGGCTGACTGAAGGTCGAGGCTGGTGAGAAAACCAGAGGCACTGGGCTCAGAGCAGTGTTGTTTCTTTGAGGATACTCAAACCTAGGAATATTACTGAGATGGATCAGCCCTTTTCTCCTTCCCAAGAGAGAGGGACCTAGATCCCTCCAGTCTGCATCCCTTGGCTGAGAAATTCATTCATTCCCATATCCTTTGGTTGGATAACTAGATCTCACCTGACTGCCCAGTGTCAAGGCAGGACAGTGAGAGATCTTGAGTCCTTGATGAGGTCATGGGATCCTCAGTATGAGATTGTACTTGAATGTCCTGACTTGGTGCATGGTCAGTCCCATCTAAGACTGCCATGATCTAGGACATAGAATCTAGAGACTCAGAGCAGGATGGGGTCTATTCTGTGAGTCTTGAGTATTATGTGTGAGCTTTGAGCTCCCCTGTGCTCACCTGCTTCCCTTTTTTGGGCGGGTCTATGCTAGAAAAAGCTTAAAAATAAGGTCTGGGTTCCATCTCTTTTTCATACTCAAAGCTAGCACTCTACCATTTGAACCATAGCTCCACTTGCAATGTTTTTGGGTGTTTAATTGGAGATAAGAGTTCTCAATGACTTTGCTGCCAAGAGTGACATTCAATTGCAGTCGTCAGATCTCAGTCTCCTGAGGGGATAGGATGACAGGCATGGAAAAGCATCTTTGGCCGGGTGCCAGTGGCTCATGGCTGTCATCCTAAGTACTCCGGAGCTGAATCTTAGGATCACGGTTCAAAGCCAGCTTGGGCAGGAAAGACCCTCAGACTCTTCTCTCCAATAAAGCACCAGAAAACCGGAAGTGGTGCTGTGGCTCAAGTAGTAGAGTGCTGAACTTGAGCTGAAGAGCTCAGGGATAGAACCCAGACCCAGAATTCAAGCCCCACAACCAACAAAAAGAAAGAAAGTAAAACATCTTTGCCTGCAAAGGACGGTGAAGGTGTGTTTGTGTGTATGTGTGTGTGTGGGGTGGTGGTGGTGGTGGTAGACTTTTAGCGCCCCACTCAGTCATCGTTTTAGATGGATTGCCCCAAACTCTTAGTTCACGGCAGCCGATTCTTGACCACAGGTGAAGCTCTGGGTTGGATGTTGACCATCGGACTTCAGTCTCCTCATGGGACAGTTGTGAAGAAATAAGGGACTAATACAGAGGGATCTCCGGAGCAGTGCCAGGCACAGAGGGAGCAGGTGTCAGATATGGTTCTCAACAATTCTGTGATTATATGACAGGAAGTTACCAGAAAGGGCTCAGATGGGGTCTGTTTTTAATAGTGCAACAGGTGTGGGAATATGAAACAAAACCTGTCTGTCTTTCATCATTACCCTATTCCCATGAGGAAGGGGATCCTTCACTGTATTCAGTCTTGCAGCTGGGGAAAAAGAGTCATGGTGAAGCCAGGTGAACTACTCATGACCCCCAGCTGACAGGAAGCTAGGCCTGATTTCTCTGCCATGCTTCCTAGGACAGTGGGTGTTATTCAGTCCACTTCTTGTCATTTGTGGGGATTGAATTCTGGATCTGGATGCTGTCCCTGAGCTCCTCAGATCAAGGCTAGCGCTTTACCACATGAGCCACGGCATCACTTCCGGTTTTCTGTTGGTTCTTTGAGGATAAGAGTCTCACAGATCTTCCTGCCAGGGCCAGCTATGAGCCATGATCTTCACATCTCAGCCTCCTGTGTAGGTAGGATTATAGGCCTGAGCCACTGGCACCTGGCTTAAGTGTAATTCTGGTCCTCTCTCTCTCTCCATCTCTCTTCCCCTCCCCCCTCTCTCTCCCTCTCCTTCTCTCTCTCTCTCTCTCTCCCTCTCTCTTTCTCTCTCTCAGGAACTGGTTGAATGGGTGCTGGAGGAGGTAGCCCAGCATCCTCATGTGGCTGGAACCCACAGGGACCCTCTCATTCTGGAGGTGGGCTGTGATTCAGGAGCTGTTTTGCTCAGCCTGTTGAACCAGCTTCATGAGGTAATCCCCTCCATGCCCCGGCTAGACCATGATGGTTATTCATTGTCCAACCCATGAGTCCTTCCCCACATACCTCTGCTTCACCGTTGAAGGAAAGTGCAAGAGAAGGTGTCGCCTTTTCCCCTTGCCCAGCACAATCTCGTGCCTCTGACCTATACCCCCACCTATCTGACAAGACCCTGGCTATAAGACTATAAAAACACTCTGTGTACTACCCTTTGCTGGAGAGTGTCATTTTGGTTAGGGGGGCGGGGTTCAGAGGAAAGACCCCAGAGCTGACACCTTCCAGGGGACATTTGTTCTTGTGACAGAGCCAAGTCATTGCTGTGGATAAGGAAGAAGCCTTCATCAGACTGACCCAGAACAATGCTCAAAGATAGGTAGGCTGTTGAAGTATCAAACCCATTCATGTCTGCTTCCTACTCCCAATAAGGAAGTGTAGTGTGGGTGACCCGGCCCTGGGCCTAAGGGATTATAAATGGATGGTGGCAGTCAGGAGCTCATGGCTCCCACCTATCATCCTGGCTCTTTGGGAGGCTGAGGTCTGATGGTTGTAACTCAGAGCAGCCTGGGCAGGAAAGTCCGTGAGATTCTTATCTCCCATAAACCATCTCCCTCTCCAAACCCACACATAAGCCAGATGTGCTGTGGCTCAAGTGGTAGAGCCTCAGCCTTGAACAAAAGAAGCTCAGGGATAACACCCAGACCTTGAATCCAAGTCCTAGGACTAACACAATCATAAAATAAATGAACAGTGTGCACCTTTTATCTGACTACCAAGAAAGATGGATACAGTCTTCTGCTGGTACTTGTAGCCAAAGGTAAGGGGCTCCCCTTGATGTTCCCCTAAACCCCTCCTTCTCTCCTTTATCTGTCCAGGCTTAGGCTGCAGGACAGAATTCAGATCATCCCCCTGGATGTGACCTTAATTACCCCCCCCCCACCTTCCTTGGGGTCAGGATCCTGGATGCACTCCCTGCTGGGAGGATGAGGCACCGCAGAGATGAGGGTAGGTATCCCAGACACTTTTACACACACACACACACACACACACACACACACATACACACACATACAAACACACAAACACCCCTAAGCCAACTCAGATTAGCCTTTTCCAAAGACACTTTGTCTCCTTGGATTAACTGACCTAGGAGAGAATTTTGATCCCTTATAACTGATTATTTTAAATTGGACTTGCTAGTTGACAGGAGATAAACAGGAGCCAAAAAAAAAAAAAAAGCCATTGGTGCCCATCACCTGAGGCTGAGGATCATGCCTGTTATCCTGGCTACTCTGGAGGTTGAGATCTGAGAATCACAGCTTGAAGCCAGCCATAAGCTGGAAAGCCCCTGAGACTCTACTCTCCATGGAACCACCAAAAAGCTAGAAGTGGAGCTGTGGCTCAAGTGGTAGAGCGCCAGCCTTGAACAATAAAACTCAGAGAGACAGCTCCCAGATCCTCAGTTCAAACCCACACAAAGAAATGGCCCCATCTTGTTGCCCACAGATTGCCTGGGCCTCGAGTCCCCTCTCATGGAGTGTGATACAAAACCTGTCCTTGGTGCCTGGGCCTTGAGTCCCCTCTCATGGAGTGTGATACAAAATCTTTCCCTGGGTAGTGTATCAGGATTCCAGTGGTGGAATCCAGGCCTTTCCCTTTGTGCACTGTCAACCCACATTGGCTGGAAGGCAGAACCTTACAAGGCTGGCAGCCTGCAGAGTGGAGAGGCTCCAGCTCTGCCAAGGTGATTGGAATGATCTTCTTGGAGGCAGCACTCGAAAAGGGGGTCTTGCTTAAGTAGGAGGATCTGACAGGAAGCCCAGAGAGCAAAGGTGCTGAATATGATGGACAACACAGCAGAGCATGTTCATTTCCAGGCAGGGCTGCTGGTGAGAGACTCGGTATAGATGTGCGACTTGGTATAGATGTGCGAGACTGTCCCTATACAGGTCTGAGGGATCATAGAAGAACAGCTATCCAGGGCTGGAATTGTGTCTTAGAGGTAAAGGGCTCATCAAGCTCGCAGGAAAGCACAGGTTGGATTCCTAGGTCCTGCATACACAGAAAAAGCTGAAAATGGCACTGTGGCTCAGGTGAAAGAGCCCTCTTCTGGAGACAAATAAAGTCAGGACAGCACCAGGGTCCCGATGTCAGGCCCCAGGGCTGTCACCATAAAACAGTTCTCCCAGGGACCTTTGTGACAGGTTGATGGCTATGCCCTGAAGCTCTCAGTAGATCCACCCGTGCTTTGTGTCTCCTTTGACAGAGGGAAGCTGGATACTCCTTTTGCCCTGGGCACCCCTGGATTCAGTTATCAGCAACCCTCCCAACGTCTTCCACCAGGACATGGAGCAGCTGGCCCCAGAAATCCTCAGGTACCAGTTGGGTGGGCAGGAGGATATAGGGCAGGTCCCAGAACTCCTTGTGGGTCTGATCTGCCCTGGAAGACCAGGCAATCAGGAGGAGGCAGATGGGAGCTTAGAGAGGGCTAGTGATGTGGAGCGGGCCCTTTAATCCTCATGGCCCCACCCAAATTCTGAGCCTCCCTTTGCTGTCCCTGAGGGGTGTCTAGGTGGTAGCTTATAGAGGAGGAGTAGGTGGAAATTCTGAAGGACTAGACACCTTAAGCCAGTCACTTACCCCTCTCATCCCACACCTGTCATCCTGGCCACTCGGGAGGCTGAGATCCAGAGCATCTCATTTCCCAGCCCAGGCAGGAAAGTGTCATGAGAGGCTCATCTCCAATCCAACTGGAAGTGGCATTGTGGCTCAAGTGGTAGAGCACTGACCTTGAAGAAAAATCGACATCAGGGACAGTACCCAAGCGCTGAGTTCAAGCTCCTCAACCAAAGAAGAAGAAAAATAAAAGAAAAAAGGAAAAAATAAACAGGAAAAAAAGAAAGGCATCCCTTCCTTGCTTGCAAGAGATGTTGAAGCAGTGGGGTTGCTATGGTTGGGAGACCAGATGCTGGCCTCCCTGGGTTTGCCCCAGTATGAAGCCGTAACAGGGTGGGTGGTGCCAAGAACTCCAGAGGTTCTGGCCTGTGGTAGGCAGGGAGTGGGTGAATGGGAGCAGGGGTGGGATGGCAGTGTCAATTATATGCTCTCCATTCATGGAAGAATGGTTTTGGATGCTGGTGACAAAGTCTAAAGTGTAGGGTTACATGTGGTTTGTGTCTTGATGAGCTGGGTTTTCCCTTGGTATTAGAAGGTGGCTGAAGCTGGTCGTTGCCGGTGGCTCACAACTGTCATCCTAGCTACTCAGGAGGCTGAGATCTGAGGATTGTGGTTCAAAGCCAGCTTGGGCAGGAAAATGTGTGAGACTTTATCTCCAGTGAACCACTAGAAAGCCAGAATTGGTACTGTGGCTTCAGTGGTAGAGCGCCCACCTTCAGCTCAAGAGCTAAGGGATTGTGTGCAGGCCCAGAGTTCAAACCCCATGACTGACAACCAAAAATAAAGTAGCTGAGTTTCCTGCATAGTGGTATGTACATTTAGGAAATGCCAAGATGTGTTATGAGCCATTCCAGATGTGTGAGATGTCCTGAGTTTTGTCTACACTTGGTCTGAGGATGGTAGTGCCATCTTCTTGGGTGTGGGATGTTCAGGGTGCTCAGGGACTGCTGAGGCCTTGGGCTAACTCTCTCTCTGTGTGTGTGTGTGTGTGTGTGTGTGTATTTTTCCTTTGTCTCTCTCTGTCTCCTTCCTGGGTGCCTGTCTGCCTCTTTCTGACCTTGGATGGTGCCCCTCCTCCACACTGACCTTGCCCTTTAGCCCCCTATCAGGGTCTACAATGAGTCCTAAATTGCCAGAGGCCTGCATTCCAGTTTTTCTTTGGGGCCTAATTCTGGCCTGTCCAAATCTTTGGGCACCTCCAGGGGATTCTGGATTCTGGGTCAGCATGGCCAGCTAGCATAGGGTCTCCCCTGCCTCTGGGAGGCCTCAGTCATGCGATGTCCTGCCTTTTCCTCAGCTGGGTCTCTGGCTGCACGTCCCTCCCTGCACGCTGGCAGTGGAGTGGGGAATGGAAGTTTTCTGGTGGCTCTGGCCAACTCGAGCTTGATAGCTGACTGAAGGCCACACAAGCAAGGAGGATCTGGGGCTACATGTGAGGTGAGGCCAAGGTGGCTTGGAAGTATCCGTCAGTGTCTAGGAAATGTCAACATACCTTGTCACAGGAAAGTCTATTTCCCCCTCTCCCCCCCCCCCCCCCCCCCGCCCAGCTTGGCTGCTCAGGTCCTTCTAGACAATTCTGGATGCCCAGAATACAGATGCACACACTTTAGATTCTAGGTCCAGGGAACTGGGGCATGAGAGACTAGTATGGCCAATACCTCAATGTTCTGGGGCATTAGCCTTGACCTGGCTATGTCCCCCTTGTTGTATGTTCACTTCTTAATCCAGTGCTGGCCCCACACTGGCCATTTGTGGCAGTGCTGTGAAAGTGGCAGGAGTGGAAATGAGATCCAGAGTGACCAAAATCTGGATTTATGGCCTGATTGGGGGTGAGGTGGGGGCAAAGGTTGTCTTAAAAAAGTCTTAGAGCTGGAACTCAGGGCCTAGGCACTGTCCCTGAGCTTCCATTGCTCAAAGCTAACACTGTACTACTTGAACCACAGCTCACCTTTTATCTTTTTTAGTAGTTTAATGGAGGGAAGAGTCTCATGGACTTCCCGCCTGGGCTGGCTTCAAGCTGCCATCCTAAGAGTTCAGCTTCTTACTTAGCTAGGATTGCTGGTATAAGACATTGGGACCTACTAAGGATGTTTTTGTGTGTGCTTTGTGTGTGTGTGTGTGTGTGTGTATGTGTGTGTGTGTGTGTGTGTTTGTGAATTTACCGGGGCTTGAACTCAGAGCCTAGGTGGTATCCTTTAGCTTTTTTACATAAGATTGGTGCTCTACACTTGAACTACAGTACATTTCAGCTCCCAGAAGCCCCTGACTATGTGGAGAACATAAAGCTCAAACCTGATCATATTTCTTTGACCTCAGGGAAGGGTATGATTCCTCTGCAGTCTGGAGGAGTAGGGGTGGAGTACGAAGGGTAACTGTAGATGGGTGCTAGGCTGGTAGAGAGGTACTCTGTCTTTAGCCAAGAAGGATAGTGATAGCTCAAGCTCTCATTTTCCTAGCTACTCAGGAGGCTGAGATCTGGGCCAGGAGGGGCAGAAGCTGCAAGATGGCACTGCAGGTAATTCTCGCTCATGCAGGGATCACAAGAGTGCAAATCTGTCAGGCACACCTTGGGGGAGGGGGTGTTGAGTTGGGCTCATGAAAGACTTGTGTGCTCATAAATCCACAGCCAGCTGGCTGCTACTTCTAGCAGCAGCCTGGAGTCCCAGGGCTCAGAGCCCTTCTTTCCTCACCAGTGCTTGGGGGCAAATGGTCTGCAATCATGGGCCAACTACAAAGGAGCATCTGTAGTGTTCTTTCCCTTGGTCCTGTGGCCCCATGCATGGATGGAGGGGCGGGTTCTCTGGAACTTACTGCCTTGGCCCAGACCCTTCAGCCCAAGAAGGACTTAGGGAGAAACCACATGATCTGGCTTGAGAGTTCTGGCTCAGCTCATCATTACCACCTTCCTGTGTGTGGGGGTGCATCTTGGTACTAGGGCTTGAACTCAGGTCCTGGGCTCTGTCCCTCAGTTTTTTTCATTCAAGGCTAGCACTCTACCACTTGAGTCCCAGAAGACTATGTCTCACCAGGCTCACCAGGCTCACTTTTTTTTTTTTTTTTTTTTTGAAGGTCATCAGGCTTGAACTCAGGGTCTGGGCATGCTCCTGAGCTTCTTTTGCTCAAGTCTAGCCACAGTGCCACTTTTGGCTTTCTCTGTTTCTGTGGTACTGAGAAATCAAACCCAGAGCTTTGTGCGTGCTAGGTAAGCACTCTACCGCTAAGCCACATTCGCAGCCCAAGGCTGAATTGTAACAGGAGTTATGAGGGTGGGATTTATTGGCTTACCCCATTTGGCATAGAAATCGCTGACTATTTCATATCTTTGCCGAGATTTGGGACCAGTCTGTGACTCGGCAATGAGGAATGATGAATGAATGAGAGCCACCAGGCTCCAGAGGTCTAGGCTCACATACTACAGAGGGATAGAGAATATGGATCCAGAACCTTCGACCACTCCTACAGCCTAGGAACTCTGAGGACTTGTCCCAGCTTGCCCAAGTTGGGTGGGCTGAGTATGGACAACCTGCTGAATGCCCATCATTCATATATCATCCATCCATACACAGAGACATGGAGTTACTGCTGCCTTTTTTTTTGAGGGGGGGGGCAGGTCTGGGGTTGAACTATGAACCTAGGCCCTGTCCCTGAGTTCCATTTGCTCAAGGGCAGTACTCTGCAACTTGAGTCACGATCCCACTCATGGTGTTTTTTTTTTGTTTGTTTGTTTTCCTGTGATCTCTTAGAAATAAGTGTCGCCTACTTTCCTGCCCTGGCTGAATTCAAGTTGGCATTCTCTACATCTCAGCCTCCTGAGGAGCTAGGATTACAGTCAGGAGCTGGTGACACCTACCTTTCTTGTTCTTTTTTAAACCATGACAATTTGAAATCTTCACCGTGTCATTCCAATGGTTTGCATTCAAAGTAAACTATCCTGGAGTTCAATTGCTAGGATTGCCACCCAGAAATGGAAGGAGATCCTGACAAACTCATTCCTATTCATGTGAATGCTAATGAAATATTATAAAAGTAATAATTAAATTTGCAGTTAATTCATGATTCTATTTTAGAATGCCACACAAATATTATTGGATTTATATCTTCCATTCTAGCACCTTAGTATGATTCCCCTAACTGAAGGATTTTGACTAATTTTTAATTAATGCTTGTATAAGTATTCAACCATGATACTTAATTAAATGGTGGCATAATGTAATAACTAATAATTGCTAATTATATATATATATAATTTAATATCATCACATTCCCTCTCTCAGTATATATCTCTATATATACATATATATATATATACATATACACACACATATATACATATACATATCTATTAGTGTATATATTGGGCACTACTGTGGCTTGATCAAAGGTCTTCAGAACTTCCTGGCAGCTCTGCTTTCTGGAGGCTGGTGTGCTAAGACTGTGACCCTATTTATGGATTGGGCATTGTAGGCCATGAGTTGAAATCCCAGCAAGGCCAAAAATTTATTCGTGGAGTAAGAAGCCAACTTTGACACATTTTTTTTTCCTTCTGTGTGAAAGTCCTGGGTCTCAGTATAATGTATAATCCATATGCAAATATAATCTAGGTGATATGATGTAATAAATGAAGTGTTATATGTGTAACAATACTAAATAAATAAGGGTAGTAAACGCCATATGCAGTAAACCCATGT